AAGTAATGGGTCTAGGAAGCCCATCTAAGTCTATCTAGTAGGGATGCTGAACGCAGAAGGAGGTGGCATGAGGATACCACAAGAAAAAGGACATAAAGACCCTGTAGTACCAGAGGTAGGAGTTCCTTTGACCATACTCGTTCACTGCATTTGCTCTTTTTTTAATAGAGTACATCATGTATATCACTTGTGTTCTCACCAATGCTAGTTAGAGTTATGGGAGAATATGAACTAGGTTTTTGGGGAAAATATTTTATTACTTTTGTTCATGCTATGCCATTCCAGTAAATGCCTTTGCTTTGAGCTAATTGTGTCAACTGATTGACTATTAAAGGTAAATGGTAATTTAATTAATGGTAATTAAAGGTAAAGGTTGGGGATCTTGAGCTATCATTTTAGAAGTGCAGACCCACAGAATACCTTGCATCTGGGAGTAGTTACCTCCCTAGTGGCTGGACTTATTTTTTCAAGTTGGGGAGGGGGGTGCTACACCATGGGGGCTCATCCAGGGCATATTTGTGTTACCTTTTGCTTTTAGATTTTTTTCCCTTCTGTTTTCAGACTGAAACTAGTAGTCAGATTTCTGGTGTGTTTCCTATTCAAGTCAGGCTACTGTCTTGGAGATAATTTTTGCATGACTAAATACTTAAATACTAATATCTATGGTATTACTGTGTTCTTTACATGTATAAAGGCTGATATAAGTAATTGTGTCCTAGCAATGCATTTAGAGTCAACAGTGCCCTAATTAAAAGATTGTAATGAAACAATCTATAGGATGCTACATTCCCACCCTGTCATCCCCACCTCATATCAGTGATTCTGTTACCATTGTTCAAGCCCTATTCTTCACCCCACCCCCAACTATCTGCTCCTTTTTTACCATCTTCCTCGACCCAGCTACTTTAATGTGCCACTCTAAAGCTACCCAACTCATCCACTGTGCTCTCTGGGATGCTTATTTCATGGATAATAAACCAGCTTTCATCTTAAACCTTTTCCTTTTTTCTTCATCTTCTTGCATCAATTGAGACTTGATTCTCTCCTGACGACACAACTTTCCTGGCCTCCCTTTCCAGCACTAGTTGCACTTTCAGTGCCCCTCACTAGTCATGGTGGGAGAATTGGAATACTCCTTACTCCTACTAGCCACTTCTGTGCTCTCCCTCTACCACCATTACTCAGGAGCCTCTCCTCTTTTGAGGTTCATTCAACCTATATTTATCACCCAATGAAGATTCTGGTAGCTGACCTTCAGGACGCTTTTTCCTTCTTCAGTGAGTTCAGTGCCTGGTTCACAGTCTTTCTCTCCTCTCTAACTCCTGCCCTCAGACTAGGGAACTTCAATATACGTATTCTCCCTCAAACAGCCTAACTTCCCAAACATACTCATTTCCCATGAGCTATTCCTCCATTCCGCCTGGGCGTACCCACAGGGATGGTCATATCCTTGATCTTGCCATCATCCGTAAGTATTCCACATCCATGTTTATGAACTCTGAAATGCCTTTATCTGAGAATAATCTGTTGTTATCCTGCCCCTCCCCTCTGTCTTCCAACTCTAAACCCTGCTCTTAGTCCTCAAAACAACTTCCAATTCTTGACCTCCTCCATTTGTTTCCAGGCCATCACCTTGTACTGGCTTCACTTTCTTCTCTTCCCCATCTTGACTCCTTGACAAGCCAGTTCAACTCTACACTGTCTTCTTCTCTTGAGTCCCTTATCCTATCACTGATCTCACCCTGCCAAACCTCAGCCTTGTATGCTACCGTCTGCTGCCTTTGCTCCAATTTACGTGCTGCTGAGCAAAGCTGGGAAAAATTTAAAAAAATACTAACTGGTCCACTACAAGTTTATGTTACATAATCTTGATTGATTCCTTTTACACCTCCCTAATTGATTTTCTATCCTACTCACCATAGCAGCTATTCCAAACCTTTGCATCCCTCCTCAAAACTTCTATGATTCCCACTTCCCCCATATCCTCAGTTGAGAATCTTGCCTTATATTTCACTGAAAAAATTGAGGCCATTTGCCAAAAACTTCTTACCTCTTCCTTATCTCTCATAACTCAGATGCCTTCTGCAACTATCTCCCCTTTCACCTCTGTCTTCATGAAGAGGTGACCCTTCTCCTTGCAAAGGGAAGCCCATTCATGTGCAAAAGTGATCCCATTTTATCCTGCCTTCTCCACAAGATTTCCCCCTCTATCATCTCATTTCTCTTACTTATCTTTAATCTCTCTCCATTTACTAGCGGCTTCCCTACTGCCTAGAAAAAACACCCATGTCTCTCCTATCCACAAATGAGATAATATTTGTAAAGCACTTAGCACAGGGCCTGGCACATGGTAGGTGCTTAATAAATACTTGTTCTCTTCCTTTCTCGTCTCTTCCTCCCATCCTCAAAAAACCCTCACTTGAGCTTTCTATTGCGCTAGCTAGCATACCATTACGTTTCCACCCTTTTGTGGCCAAACTTGAGAAGGCTCTCTTAAAAATGCATGATTCTACTTCCTTTTCTCTGACTTTCTATAGCAGAGGTATTAAACATGCTGCACTCCACCCAGTACTCTGTAGCACTGCCCTAATGGAATAAAAATGTAATTGGGGAATCAATAAAACATAGATAATGTTAATACATGGTTTTGTAAGTCAATATGTACCTGCATGTATCCTTATTATGATCCCGTTTGAGTTCGACACCAGTGCTTTGCAGTTATAGCTTCTGACTTCATCATTGAACTGAAATTGATCTCTCCAAAGGTACTTACAATCTCTTAATTGCCAAATTCAATGGCCTATCTTCAATCCTCATCCTTCTTGACCTCTCCCCTCTTCCTAACTTCCATATTACTATTGAGGGTACCACCAACCTCCCAGGCCCCCAGGCTCACAATCTAGGTGTCATCTTCCACTTCTTACTCTCTCTCATCCCCTCCCCCACCCACAATCTGTTGCCAAGTCCTGTTGATTCTACCCTAGTTATATCTGTCTATATGCCCCCTTTTCTTCTCTGACATTACCACCACCCTCAATCAGATCCTCAACATCTCATGCCTAGACTATTGCAATAGCCTTCTGATTGATCTCTCTGCCTCAGTTCCTTACTGTCATTCATCTTCCACTCATCTGTCAAATGATCTTCCTAAAGTTCAGGTCTGACTATGTACACTCCCTCCCTCATTCAATAAACTCCAGTGGCTCCCTAGTACCTCCAGGATCAAATAAAAATCCTTTGGCTTTGAAATACCTTCATAACCTGGCCTCTTCCTACCTTTCCAGTCCCCTTGTGTCTTGCTTTTTCCAATGTACTCTGTGACCTAGTAACATTCTACTCTTTTCTTTTCCTCTCACAGGACACTCTATTTCCTGACTTCAGGCATTTTCATTGGTTGTCCTATGCCTGGAGTTCTCTCTCTCCTCACCTCTGTTCAATTTCAGAAGATGAGTCTTCCTGACTTCAGGCTTAGCACTCTATCCACTGTGCCACCTAGCTATCCCACATAAAGATACAGACATAGATGTATCTATTTGTCTATATCTTATTCATACATAGTTGTATATTTTTGTGGACATAGTTGTGTATGTCATCTCTCCCATTAGACTGTGAGGTCCTTAAGAGCAGGGACAGTTTTTTTTTCCCTTTTTCTTTTCTTTTTGTCTTTCTTTGTAATCCCAGCACATAGTAAATGCATAATAGATGCTTGTTAATTTGTTGACAGTTGGATTGGGAAACTCTATAAGCTGGCTTAGCTTCTGGTCACCTCACTTTCATGGTGCTATGAGCTCCAGCTGGCACCAGTAGAGATGTCCAAACCTTTTTATGTGGCCTAGTCACCAGCAGGCCATTCTCATCTCCATCATGGAAGCCTAGAAGTCAAAATCATAAGAGCAGGAAAAGAAAGACCGTAAGTGAAAACAGGATAAGAAAAGGTTCAGGTAGTGTTTCTTCTCTCATGTGATTTCTGATCACAACCCTGGATGAAGCTGGGAAGGGAACGACCAATTGCCTGTGCCACCATCATCAGGAATTCCTCTTAAAATTAAAAAAATATGTATTCGTGAGTCATTCTGTTTTTACCACCACTACCAATGAATATAAACATTTCCATGTGCAAAAGATAGAAAAAAAGGATTGGAATTACAAATCTCCGTTACTAATAGCTTATTCTTTTTTTTTTTTTTTTAGGCAATTGGGGAAGCTTGTTCTTTTTAAGAAGCACACTATTATGTGCTAAATGTATTAATTTAGCATGTTCATTTTAAAACTTAACTGTGTTTCCCTCTGAACCTACTTCTGTTTTCTTCTGTGTTTTTAAAAATGCTTAAATGACTCTCTTTTCCTTGACTTTTTAAAAAAATTATCACTGCCCCCCCTTTCTGCACTCCCCCAACAAATTCCCCTAGCAATAAAAAAAAAAAAAAAAAGATCCTCCTTTGTGACAAATAAGCATAGTCAAGCAAAACAAACCCACACATGGGCCATGTCTGCAAATGTATGTCTCACTCTGTCCATCCGCTACGTGGGTAATATACTTTATCATTGATCCTTAAGGGAATTTAACAGTCTTTTTTCTCTCTGTGAATTATTTCCCTTGGACCCAAGGTGAAAACAAGTTAAAGAGATAAGCAGGGCAAGCAGAGAAACAGGTTATATCCCCTAAGTTATTTTATATGTTTTAGACTAATTTCAACAACTAGATTCAAATCTTCCTGAGGGCAGGGATAATATATTTTACATCTTCCCATCTCCCATAGTGCCTAGAGCAGCTTCAGGGTGAACAAAGGTGATTCAATCCAATCTAATCCAATTCAACAACCATTTATTAAGCACTTACAAGTCTGACATTGTTGGGATCTTGTTATTTTCCAGGCATTGTTAAGATTTATTAACTGTGCCAGGCATTGTCACTGGGATACAAAGACAAAAGATAGGTGCTTAATACTTGGATGATTTGTTCCTACAGTATAAAATGTGTATAATGTGTAGCTCTGACATTTAACATTTCCTTTCCTCTGCTATCTCTTGTACAGTTCTTGAAAGTACCTTATCTAGCCTGGAGACCTTCCCCTGGGTAAGGCTGGAGAATCTACTTTTTGGAGAATTTCAAGAAAGGTGATGATCTGGAAGCACGAGAATCGAAGACTGTTTTTAGGACTGAGTATCTTCTGGTGAAGTTTAGGAGCTATTCATAGCCTTATATGGGGTTCCTGTGAGACAGAGTCCTGCCCTGCTGTACCTCAGAAGGACAGAGAAGCCACATCCTGTAGAGGTCCTGGTTAAAGGTGAGGAAAGAGAAGAGTCGAGTTTTTGGAAATGAGATGAGAGAATACTGACAAAAGGGAGGTAACTAACCCTGCAGCCTCTGCCCCCACCCCCATCCCATTTAAGAATGCATTTGTTTCCTCATCAATTAGACAATTATCTAACATTCGTTTTTGTTGTTGTTCAGTTGTTTTTCCATTGTGTCTGAATCTTCATGACCCTATTTGGATTCTTTTTAAAGTAATATCTTATTTTCCCCCCAATTATATATTAAAAACAATTTTTAACATTTGTGTTTTTTTAAATGAGTTCCAAATTCTCTCTCCCTCCCCTATCCCTTCTTATTGACAGTAAGCAATCTAATATAGGTTATACATATACAATCATGTAAAATGTATTTCCATATTAGTCATTTTGTGGAAGAAAACAGAAAGGAAGGGAGAGAGAGAGAGAAAGAGAGAGAGAGAGAGAGAGAGAGAGAGAGAGAAATCGCATGCTTCTATCTGTATTAAGATGCCATCAGTTTTTTCTGGGGAAGCATTTTTCATCATGAGTCCTTTGAAATTGTCTTGGATCATTGTATTGCTGAGTCATTCACAGTTTTTCATTGTATAATATTGCTGTCACTGTGTACAATGTTCTACTGCTTCTGCTCTCTTCATTCATTGTGTAATATTGCTGTCACTGTGTACAATGTTCTACTGGTTCTACTCACTTCACTCTGCATCAGTTTATATAAGTCTTTCCAGGTTTTTCTAAAAATTATTCTGATCGTCATTTTTTATAGCACAATAATATTCCATTACAATCACATACCACAACTTGTTCAGCCATTCCCCAATTGATAGGCATTCTCTCAATTTTCAATTCTTAACTATCATAAAAAAAACTGCTATAAATATTTTTATACAAATAGGTCCTTTTGCCTTTTAAAAAATCTCTTTGGAATACAGAACTAGTAATGGAATATGCAGTTTTATAGCCCTTTGGGCATAGTTCAAAATTGCTCTCCAACTCCACCAACAGTCATCTCCTCCAACATTAATCATTTTCCTTTTCTGTCATATTAGCCAATCTGATAGGTATTCGGTGGTGCCTTAAAGTTGTTTTAATTTGCATTTCTCTAATCAATAATGATTTAGAACATTTTTTATATAATTATAGATAGCTTTGATTTCTTTGTTCTGAGGCACTGAGAAGTGCCTGTTCATATCCTTTGACCATTTATCAACTGGGGAATGACTTGTATTCTTATAAATTTGACTCAGTTCTCTATATATTTGAGAAATGAGGCCTTTATCAGAGATATTTGCTGTTAAAAATTTCTTCAGTTTTCTGCTTTCCTTCTAACTTTAGTTGCATTGGTTTTGTTTGTGCAAAGCCTTTTAAATTTAATATAATCAAAATTATCCATTTTATATTTTGTAATTCTCTCTATCTCTTGTTTGGTCCTAAATTCTTTACTTCTCAATAGATCTGACAATAGATCTGTGCTTCTTTAATTTGCTTATGATATCTCCCCATATACCCATTTTAACCTTATCTTGCTATAGAGTGCAAGATGTTGGTCTATACCTAATTTCTGCCACAATGTTTTCCAGTTTTCCCAGTAGTTTTTGTCAAATAGTGAGTTTTTGTCCCAAAAGCTTGGATCTTTGAGTTTATCAAACCCTAAATTACTATGGTTATTCGCTACAATGTATTGTGTACCTCATCTATTCCACTGATTCACCACTCTATCATTTGGGGTTTTCTTGGCAAAGATACTGGATCAGTTTGCCGTTTCCTTCTCTAGCTCATTTTATAGATGAGAAAACTGAGGCAAACAGGGTTAAGTGACTTGCCCAGGGTCACACAGCTAGTAAGTGTCTGAGGCTAGATTTGAATTCAGGCAGATGAGTCTTTCTGACTTGAGGCTAGGCATTCTATCCACTGTGACACCTAGCTGCTCCATGAACATTCATTAGGTGATATGTGTCAGGCACTGTGTTAGTGCTGAGGATACAAATGCAAAATATGAAATAATGCCTTCTCCCAAGGAGTTTACTTTCTAATGATGGGGAGGAACAAATCATTAGATAAGTATATACAGACTATTTAGAGACAATAAATACGAAGTAGCTAAATACAAGGTGGTTTGTCAGGGAGGGTAACAATAGGTGGGGGAATCAGGAAAGACTTTTTATACAAGGTGGTACTTGAGTTACGTCTTGAAGAGAAAGGAATTCTATGAGATGGAGGTGAGGAGATAGTGCGTTCCAGAAACAGGGGCTAGCCAGTGCTGAGGCCCAGAGACTAGAGATGAAATGTCATGTATGAGAAGGCCAGTGTGACTGGATTGCCCAGTGAGGGCTGGGAATAATATCCAATGAAGCTGGAAAAAAGTTTAAGACTAGACTGTACAGGGTTTTAAAAGTTAAACATAGTTTCTAGTTTATCTTAAAGGCAATAGGGAGCCTTTATTGGGAGAGTTTATTTAGTGGGGGAGTGACATGGTCAGATTTTTGCTTTTCCCCATAACCATACCCCACCCCCAAATCACACAGTGGGAGTCCACTACTTTCTGAGACAGCCTATTTATCTTGTGAGCAGCTCCAGTTATGAATGTAAGTGGGATGGACTGGAGCATTTCCCTTGGAGCTAGAAATGCCCTCTGGTCCCTTTCTGTGGGACATGTCTCTTGCTAAAGGATGTATGTAAATGTCTAGCTTCATGGGAGGTTCTCTAATCCACCTCTTGCTACATTGGGAGGTTTTTCTCTTATACGGAATCTAATATTCCTCTCTGTACCAATCACTGCAAACTTTCCTTTTTAGAAACTATGGTGTCCAGTCCCCTAACTCCTTGCTTCCTATGAGACTCAGCCTTACATTGCCTGACTCTGTTGCTGAAATTTAACACCCTAAAGTGTTTGTGGTCCTTGGCATGTAGCATGAGCCCCATGCTGTGGTAGAAAGCTTAACCATCCTGCCATCCGGTGAGGAACGAGGCTGGTCACTGAGAAATTGGTCATCCTTTTTCTATACATACTTCCATCCCTCAAGCCCTCCACTTCTCAAACCCTACAACATGGCATGGAAGCTGCTTTTCATCTTTTTCTCTGCATGCCCAGGTGATGGGGACAGTTCCTTGAAGGGAGCAGGGGAGCTTGTGAGAGGGTGGAAGATACCAAGTTGCCCAAGGGAAAGAGGGATAAGGGAAAGGAATGTCAAGGGCCCTAAGGAATCATATATAGGTAAGAGCTGTGGGCTAATAGGCCAGACACCTGGGCTTAGAAGGAGAATGGGAAGCACCAGGTGATGAGGAATGGGAATGGGAGCTACCCTCCATGGAGATGGGGTATGGTGTTCCTTTCTTTCACCTTCTCTTCTCCAGGTCTCCCAGGCCAGGATTTTTTGCTATTTGCTGTTGCTGTTTTCCTTCCCTTCTTCCCACCGCCTTTCCCTTCTTCTGAATTTCTCCACTTCCTGACTGGGTACACTGGACATCTCCTGCTGTTTGATGATACTTTTCCATTAATTTTTAAAAAATGTATTGCTTCAATAAGAAGCAGAGTTCTAAAAATGAACAGGCTTAATTAGTAATGTTCACTAATATTTAATCAATTGTTTTAGCTATAGAACTTAATCATCAGAGCTAATTAATTAGTGCTGTTTTGCAATCATATAGATCAGACCTGCACAATTCGTAAACTTCTTCAGGCCACAGATAGGTTAGACTAGAGACTGATGATAGTTGGTTGCCGTGGGTTATGTGCCCGAAATCCTTTGGTGGGCTGTATGTTGTGCAAGCCTGATATAGATTAACTAGTGTTGCTCATTGATGAAAAATTAGTGACATTTGTTTACTATCAAGTATTGGAGCTTTGCTGAAGACATTAACCAGAGTCAATTAATTAGGCTTCTTCACAACAAGACTGGATGAATTGATCAGCTGGGATTTCCCTAAAAAATAACTACCCAAATAGGTCAATAAGTGAAGAAAGCTAAAGAATAATGGGGTGAGGAGAAAGAATTAAATTTCTTATTCAAATAAGCAGTATTAAGAAACTTTGGGTATGTTTGTTTTTTGTTTTTTTTGGTGAAGCAATCGGGGTTAAGTGACTTGCTCAGGGTCACACAACTAGTAAGTGTCAAGTGTCTGAAGTCGGATTTGAACTCAGGTCCTTTAAGAAACTTTGGAAAAGAAAGCTACGGCTCATTTGGGGGCAAGTCATTAGCATCCTCAGTTACTTAATTATGTGGTTTCTCCCCACTAGGGCTCTCACTCCTGGGGTGTTAAAACCTTTTCTGCATCTTCTTCTCTCCTTAGAATAGGAAAACTTCCTCCCCATCATCCTTCTTTGTCTATCCCCCAGATTCCTCTTCTCTTTCCATCTTCCAGCCCCCCCAGATCCAGGCCCAGGAGGGTGGCTCTGTCTCCCTTTCCTGTTTGTTCAACATCAGTCAGGAGGGCCCTGCCATTGGCTTTGCCACCTGGTACCTGGATGTGGTAGCCCCAGACAGGGAAGTGAATAACAAGACACTGGAATTCAGGGGCCGTCTAGAAGGCTCTGATCAATCCCAATTCCTCTGGGACCGGCTGATTGAGCTACGGATACGGGACATCAGAGTATCCGATGCTGGACTTTACCTGTGCGTGGTGGAGATACTGGGGTCAGGGACTGGAACTGGAGAAGGAACCAGGCTGGTGGTGAAGGAAGGTGAGCACACACACACACACACACACACACACACACACACACACACACACACACACATTTTTCCCTTTTCTTTCCTTGATTCTGGGGAATGAGCCTTCTTAGTCAACAATCATTTATTAAGTTCCTACTATGTGCTAGATACTGTGCTAAGCACTGAGAATACAAAGAAAAGCAAAATCTCTGCCCTCTGCCCTCAAGGAGCTCACATTCTAATGGGGGAGACAACTATGTATATATAAGATAGAGAGAGTATAAGTGGGAGTAATCTCAGAGAGAAGGCACTATGCTGAATAGCTCTCTCCATGCTCTACTTGGTAGGCAAGAACTTTCTTCTTCCCTATTGTCTCCACTACCCCAACATCTTTCAAAACTGAAAATATTCTTTTCCACAGTCCTCTTTCTTTTACTCTTTCCCCAAATCTAGGCTCCCCTTGGCCAAAAGTGTTCCCACTCTTCCTTCGGGCAGCCCTCTACATTTTCAGCTTGGCCTTTGTGGTGATAGGGACCACTCTGTATTACAAGAGACAAGTGAGTAATAATGCGAATGGTTGTGGAAGGAAGATATGGCTGAGAGAGAAGTGGGAAGAAACACAGATGGAAAGCAATAAGAGGTTAGAGCCCTCTGTCACTCTACTTCTCTTTTCTCCTAGGTCGCTATCACCAAAGGACACCAGAGTACCCTGTTACCTCTTTCACAGTGCCTTGAAAATGAGTTCTGACACCTGGAACTTCCCAAGAGAATCCCAATAAACCTCCAGCTACCCCATAATCAGCTACTTTTGTCTTTTCCCTTTTATCCTTCCAGAGGCCCTCCTCTCCCCAGACCTGTCTGTTCCCATACTCTATAAAGTCCCTTCCCTTAAGCTCAGAATTTAGAGTTTAATTGGTTGGGGGAGGGTAAGGGAAACAATTCCTAACAATGAGGAACTCAGGCTAGCAGCTTTGTGCAGTGGGAAGAGCACCATAAATTTGGAGTCAGAAGATCTAGGTTTGAATTCTGGCTCTGAAATACACCAACCAGCCCTATGTCCTTGGGCTAGTCACATCATCTCTAACACTCAATTTTCTAATCTATAAAATAAAGTTATTGGACTAGATTATGTCTAAGGTCCTTCCAGCTCTAACCTCAACCTGCTTCCACCCCATCCTAGCCTATAGCTCAAAACTTTCCTCCTCTCAGAAGTCCTGGCCTGACGGAATTTTAAAAAATGTAGTAAAATGTTATTTATTTATTTACTTACTCGTTTGTTTGTTTATAACAATGTGACCATATTTCTCTTCTTCAAATTCCTCAACCTTGTTAAAATCTTGTGGGTCAGGGGTAAACAAAGAAATTTTTCTCCTGCCTTCTGAAGAGATCTGGGGTCCTTGGATTTTCCCTTCTTCACTCCTTTCCAAACCACAATCCTCCCTCCCAACTGAAAATTGAACCCCCTATCCTAGAGAGGAGAAGGGATAGAGAGACCATTTGGAACCTGGAAATACCTATTTTGAATTTAGGTCTTGCAATACACTGGGAGGCCTGAGACGTTTAAAGTGATATAAACAAAACACTCTTTATTGGGTTCACTGAGAGTTTCCCCCCTAGTTGGAGTCTTGGGGGAAGACAGGAAGATGGCAGGGTCATCACTAGACTGAAACTTGGGCCTCCCCATTGTCACTTAGCATTTTTGGTGGACTTCATTACTATTTCTGGGGGCCCACTGGTACAAACTTCTTGGATATGACCTCTGCAGTTGCAATTAGGCATGGCTACTCTTCTTGACACAGGCATAGTCCCCACTGGGATCATTTTGAGGGACTTTCCCATCTCCTTCCCTTAACCCAGCTGTAAGCCCCTGGAGAGATGCATAATGAAGCTGTTGCTCCAAAGAACCATCCTAAAGGGATGGAGAAAGATGGTCAGAAGGGTCAGGAAGCAGTTCTACCAAGAACCCCCCCCCTCCATGCCACTGGTTCTTTTCTTAGTATATTCTTTCCCACCTTACCCCCATTCTCCATGTCTCTACCTTTTGGCCCTTTCCCCACACCCCAACAGACCCCCAAAACTCACCCTGTCCTTCTCCAACCTCATCACTGTAAAAAAAAAAAAAAAGACAACTCAGCAAATCTTTTTTTTAAATGAATGAATACAAAAACATTTATTAAGCATTTACTATATGCCAAGCACTGTGCCAAGTGTTGTTGGAAGACAAATGGAAAATTGAGACAGTTTCTGTTCTCAGAGAGCTCTCTTCTAGACCACACAATCCCCTCACCTTCCTATCTAAGGAAACTACATCCCAAGTGACCAGCTGAAAGTTGTCCCTCTTCTCCCATTTCTATCCTCTGAAGAATTCTTTCCTAATTCTATGCTACTCCTGAGCTTAACAATTTCCTCACCCTGAGTCTTTTAGGAAGAGTTATCTTGGGTACTGGGGGGCAGTAGGAGGGCCTGTGGTACTGGGAGAGGGCATTTGGAGAAAATTAGGTGGGGTGTATGTATGGGCAGATGCTAAAAGCATACATAGTTTTTGGACATGGCCAGTATTGGAATTTGTTTGCTTGACTATGCATATTTGCTGCAAGAGTTTTGTTTTTGTCTTTGTCTTTTTTTTTTTTTTCAATTAGAGGGGTCAGGGAGAAAATAGATTTTTGCTCATGAAAAAAAAAACTCTTAATTTTTTTTTAAAGAGGGGGTTGCCGTAAATGACTGGTAGGAAAAGCTGGTCCCCAGAGACAGATGCAGCTGAGGGTAGAGAGGGGAGTAAGAAAATCAAATTGATTCTATTTTGTAATTGATTCTATTCTGTATCACTGCCTACATTTTGTGTACTGTCTAAGTCACATTACTTTGTGTCTGAGTTAAGTTCAGAAGTTCAGCTTTCTTCTGAGTTAATTAAATTTAAAAGTTCAGTTTTCCTGCTAGTCACTGTTCTATTCTTGTGTAATCTGTTATCCCTGAAGGATGCTTGTGGATGCCAGGGAATCTGGTCTGTTATCTCTGCAACACTGTCTGTCCTTCAAAAAAGTCTGGTTTGTTATTGCTGTGATACGAGCTAGTCTTGCAGGTGGACACCACCAATGAGCTTTCCATGGTGACAAGACGGAAAGAGGGATTGTTACTAGCCCACATTCCCAGTTTCCAACCAATCATATTGTTTTCCCCATCTATGATGCTGCCTTCTAGCTTTTGTACGCTCCTCCATTTGTCTATAAAAATAATCTGCCTAGGAGCAGCTAGGTGGCACAGTGGATAGAGCTGTAGCCCTGGAATCAGGAGGATCTGAGTTCAAATCCAGCCTCAGACACTTGACACTTACTAGTTGTGTGACCCTGGGCAAGTCGCTTAACCCCATTGCCTAGCCAAAAAAAAAAAAAAAAATCTGCCTGCCCTCACTTGAGATCTTTTGACTTGTTAGGGAGCTAAAGACCCCTTTTTTGGTAATTTGCTCGGAACTTTGTGCCTCCATTTACCTTAATTTCAATTGTTACAGGAGGGAGAGAGAAGGGTTGCCTATGACTGGCTCCAAGGCTTACCTCTTTTTCGAAGCTGGTATGTACAGACAGACAGAATGAGTACAAGCAGGAACAGGAGGCCCTCTACCCCTCCTATTGCCCCCCATATGTAGGTTTCTATAGGAGACAAAACAATTTGGCAGGTATTAGTATTCCATGTCTTCCTTATATCTAGATGATACACCCCATCCTCAAATTAGAAAAAGTACAAGTTTCATCAGAGACATCTGAAAATACTTTACTTCCTATAAGATAGTCTACCACTCAGGGTGGTACATTAGAGCTATCTCACCTCCTATCTCCTCCCTTTTAGGTCTCTCTCTCTTTGCCTTCCTCCCCCTACTTCGTACCCCAAGTCTTCATTTTGTCTTCCGAGTTCCACTGGGCACCTTTATTGCAGCAGAGTATGGTTGGTTTGTAGAAAAAAAGGCTTCTCACACTAAAGCAGAAGGAATCTGGAACAAGGGACATGGGGGTTGGTGAATATAGGAGGTTGCTTCATCATATTTCTTGAAGCAGAGAAAGCTCCTTCGGTTGTAATTCAATTGCGGGTTGTCCTTATACAGACACAGTGGCGTAGTGTTTAATAAACCTAAAGGCCACAGCTACTAGGGTAAGAGCTGATTATTTGATAAAAACTGTTAGGAAAACTGGAAAGAAATTTAAGGCATGAACCAGCACTGCCTAACAAGGTTAAGTTCCAGTTGGGTCAGTGACTTAGACATAAAGGATGACATAAACAAATTAGAAGAGCAAGGAAGAGATTACCTTTCTGGTCTGTGGTTAAGGGAGGAAGAGTTTATGACCAAACAAAGGATAGAGAGGATCATAGAATAGAAACAATTTTGATTACGTAAAATTAAGATTTTTTGCACAAACAAATCCAATGCTCCTAAAATTAGAAAGAAAACATCTTTGCAGCAAGTCTTTCTGAATAAGGTCTTATTTCCAAAACATATAAGGAATTGGCTCGTATTTATAAAAATAAGAGTCATTTTCCAATTGATAAATGGATATGAACAGGCAATTTTCAAAGGAAGAAATCTAAGCTATCAAGAGCCATATGAAAAAAATGTTTTAAATCACTAATAATTAAAGAAATGCAATTTAAAGTAATTCCAAAATTCTACCTCACATTCATCAGATTGGCAAAGCTGATAAAAAAAAAGGAAAATGACAGTTGTTGGGGGGGCTAGGAGAAAACAGGCCCATTAACGTTGTGAAGCTATGAACTGATACAGCCATTTTAAAAATCAATTTGGAACTATTCCCCAAAAGTCATTAAACTGTGTATACCCTTTGATTCAGCAATATCACTACTAAGCCTACACCCCCAAACAGATCAGATAAAGAGGAAAAGGAGTCATAAGTAAAAAAGATATTTATAGCGGCTCTTTTTATACTAGAAAAGACCTGGAAACTAAGGTGTGCCCATCAATTATGAAATGGTTAAACGAATTCGGCATATGAATGTAATACAATACTAATGTGCCTTGAGAAATTATAAAAGGTACAATTTCAGTTAAACCCAGAAAGACTTGTATGAGCTGATACAGAAACGGGCAAAATATTGGGAACAACTTATACAATAATTAAGCAACTAAACCACTTCGAAAGACTTAAGAACTCTGATTTATGTAATGACCTACCATGATTCCAGAGGACTCATAATGAAACACGCCCCTTACTTCCTGACAGAAAGGAGATGTACTCTGTGTGCAAAATGAGACATATTTTTTGGATCTGGCCAATATGGAAATTTGTTTTGATTGATTATGTATATTTGTTACAAGAATTTTGTTTTTGTTGTCTTTTTCTTTTTCAATTAGATGAGTCAGAGAGAAAATAGATTTCTGTTCATTGAAAAAAAAACTTAATTAAAAAAAAAGTAGGGGTTGCCCTACATGACTGATAGGAAAAGCTGGTCCCCAGAGACAGACACAGCTGAGGGTAGAGAGGGGAGGGAGAGAGGAGGGTTGCCTGTAACTGGCCCCAAGACTTCTGCCCTTGCACTTCCTGTCCTCCAACCACTGGTTCCTGTTTCAGAGTAGAGTGGGGCCCTTGACTCCACCCCAGGGCCAGACATAACTGACCAGAGCTTGGGAACTGGGAACTCATGAGTTCTATATTGTGATGGGGGCAGGGTGAAAATACCATCCTGTAGGGGAGGGCAAAGAGTGAGGAAAAGGATAATGATTTTTGAAATTTGGGGGAACTTAAGAAGAAATTCCTCCACCTCCCCTACTCTCACCATTCATTCCAGTCTCTTCTTCCTCAGGGGACCCAGATGTCCAGACTCCCAGCAATAAATTCTCCCTCCCTGGGCTGGCCCTTCAGTCATGATACTCTTGAGAAGTTAGTCATATGACCCTGTAGCATCCATTCTGGGTCCATCCTTCCCCTTTCCAATCCCCACCTCCCTTAGAGATCCAGTTTTGCAACTAGCAAGGGTCTCTGACCTAGAACAGACTCCAGAATGAGCTTTGCTTCCTGGGGCAGAATAGAAGATTCTTATTCCTCTCCCTCTTTTCACCCAGTCCCCAGTTGTAAATCATGCTAAAGTACTCAGAGAGAGAAAGTTGGGCTAAGGGGTTTGGGGTTGGAACATACTCCCTTCCATAAATCAGTGTCCCCCAGAGGCCTCCTCCCCATGACACACATCCTTTACACTCAAGTCTTGAGAGGATCAAGACCTCCAGACAGCCTTCCCTGATTATTCCTGATTGCTGTCTTA